TTTATTACCTACTGGAAATTAAGTTGAAAAAAAGTTATCAGGTTAAGAAACAAAGGTAAGAAGCTACTTGGTCCCAATGGAATTTCCCATTGGGAACCTGCTAGCACTAAGTTGCTAACTGGTTAGCAAGATGTTTCCGACAAACTGGCCACAACCAAACTTGCTTGTGAACCTTCCGCCACAACAATCCCGCCCCCTTGATAATCGACCAATCACATTCACTTTATTCACTCGTGTAAAGTCGGGCACCACTGGGAGAATTCAGAAATGCAACGATTGGAACGGCCGCTTCCATACAACTGTAAATAAATAACAACCATTTAATTTATTATTATTAATTAAAAATTACACTGGAAAAACGATCTAGAAACATGTTAAAATTTCTTAAATTAAGTCTATTTACCCTTAATTTGAGCAGGTTAATTAGATAGTTTGCCAATGGAATAAGTATTTTTACTCTTAAAGTAAGATATTTAGATAATATGCAATTGAAATAAGACAATGCAATAATGTTTTCTTATTTTTTGTGTAAGTTGTCTTGTTCCATTGGCAAAATGTCTCTTTTACCTCCTCAAGCCAAAAAAAATGAAGTTATTTATAGAAAAAATGACTTATCTAGATTTCTATTTTTTCCAGTGTAAATGTCACTAAGAAATACTTATTTTTAAAAAGTATATTAAATTCACTTTATATGTTTAAAGAATAGTAAGTAAATATAGTATTAAGTGAATGTAACTATTTTGTCCTGTTTTTGGGTCACTAAGGCTTCAATTGGTATTAAAATGTCTTAAATCAGTCTTTCAGAAGTCTTAAAATTGTTACCGCGTCATAAATAGGATTTTGTTTTTGGAATCCATCCATCTAATTTCTGCATCTGGTTCAAAATGCATGTTTTCTAAACAAAAGCAATTCTACTTCTTCAAACTTGCAAACGAAGTCCAGTGAAAGGTATTTTTGAAATGTTTTTTGGAATAAAAAACGGATGTTTGCATAAAGTTCTCCACCCAGAATCAGCCTGTGGATGGATGAACCGGGTGGGACCAACCCCCAAAACGTTTGCAGCCAATAAAATCCCAGTGAGGAACATTGACATTTTATTGGATCATCAAAATCGAAGAAGAACAAAAAAACTGGAATGAAAACTTGTTAGACACATAATGTGTTCTGTATCTAAAGTATCCATAGATCCAGAGTCTGGTTTGGTCCAGATGGGCTTTGTGGATGTGGAGGTGGGGGGGGTCAGAGGTAGCTGAGCATTAGGGGGTGGGTGGGGGCTAATGGGTGCAGGAACAGGCCCTTCAGCACAGCTCCAGACTCATTAATCATGGTGTCAGCTGTAAATGTGTTTGGGGTTAGGGAGTGTTATCCTATCCCTTCTCTATCTGCTTCTGCATGGTCACACAACACCGGCCGACCCCCGCTACCCCCGGCTCTGCCCCCCCACACACACGACACCCCATCCTCCCCTTCCTTTCACACCTTCCCTCCGTGCTATTAGTTGGGCTATAGGTGTGTGAACATGTAGGAAAGTCTTTCTGGTCGTGACCGTAGCTGACGGCCAGACCTATCTGAGCTAGATAACGCCGCCGCCGTGCGGAGTGACCTCTGCGCCCTCAGATGGAGCGAGGAAGACAGGACGGGTCGGACAAAAGAAGAAGCGGCGTCCAGGAAGAGGAAATGAAAGCAGAAAGAGACCAAAAGCAGCGAGGCGGAGGTAGAGCGGGAAAAAAACGGACATCCGATAACTCCCACTCTTCCCTTCCGGACTTGGTTTGGGCAAAAGGAGTCCTTCACACTTCAGAGTGTCAGTGGGATCTATTAAAAAGCCATTATTTGAATTGTATTCCTCTCTCCGTTACAATCAAGTTAAAAGGAATTCTCCATTCAGCCTCGGTTTGCTGCCGCGTCCAACTGAGCCAATTAGGGCTTATTAATAATGGAGGAACTCCAAATAGGCACTAAACTCCATAATTGTGCAGAGATCTGTCAGTGAGGCCTGCTGGCTGCACTCCACCATCCTGAAGCTCCTGCAAACTTCCAGCTCCCATCGTGTCACTCTGTAATTAGAGCTTCAATGCTGATGGTTTTAGAGCCATTTCCATGCAGTTGGAGATTGCTGCAACTCCACTCCGCCCCCCCCAAACATCCACGGTTCTGGTGGCAGGTGATAATGGGCCCACGGATGAGGCCCCCGGACCGGAGTTCATTGCCAAAGGCAGCGGGGCGTATTCAGTCAACAAGGAATTAGCATGCAAATGGGCTGGAGGGAAGAGGGCGGGGCCGATCGGGCGAGAGTTTAAGGTCGGAGGTCAGACGCTCCTCAGGGTTTATTGCACAGCTGTCAATCAGCGGCTGCCCCGGGGCAGGAGCCTGCGACAAAAGGAACAAAGATGGCCGACAAAGAGGGCCCCCAGACTTTGGTTCCACTTCCTGTTCTTGGGCATTACTGGAGTCCCCCCCCAATTAACGGAGTGCCAATCATGCAGCCGGTGAGGCGGCGACCGGCGGCGACCGGCGGGTACCTCAGAGACGCTGGTGTCCAGTTCCCCACGCCACCTCCTGCTGGTTCTGACATTATTATTCATCTTCACTTTTTTAACTTTGGAAAACTTTTTATGTCTCCTGAACTTTTTCACAGTTTTCCTTTGAATAATTTTATGTGTTTGGGGGGGGTTCGTATGTTTTGATTTATTGGATCTCTGTAGGTCTTCCTGAAATATAAACCACCTCATCAACAAAACAAGCTATAAATGAAGCTTTTCACTCATCTGACAGCACTAGATAGGATTAATGTTTCCTCCGATTTAAGCCCATTTTGTGGCACATATTTACCACCATATTTTGACCTAAAGCAGCGGTCTATAAGTCCTTGTGCTGCGTTCACAGCGCACGCGTTTTGAGCAGCAGCAACGGGTTACATGCAAAGTCTATGGTTGAGGCGCATCAAGGTGCATCAAAAGGAAAATTTTAACTTTTCCTGCTCGACGCATCAAAATACATTTAAGTAACGGAGATGAGTATAATTAGTAATATGGATCATTTGAATATCATTATAAGAAAGTGAAATTCAATGCATTTATTCCCATTATGCTAAAATGTTTATAGAAATATTGATAATAAATCATTAATTCGTCCCCTAATTCAATGTTGATGCATGAAACCGTGAAGTGATGTTTTTTGGTTTTGACTTTTATCTAGAAAAGTTTGAACTTGTTATTGCGAAACTTTTATAGCAGGTTATAGGAGAACAATGCAAGATTTTAATTTAAACTCTATTTAACCAGGATGGTCCCACTGGAAAAAACTCCAGGCCAAGAAGCAGCGACAAGTAAAGAAAAACAGCGAAGGATGAAAAATAGCTCAAAAACTTTAGTTTGTAAATAAAGGCGCTTGGTGAGAAAAGTTCTGGTGATTTAAAAGTGAGTTCTAACACGGTTTGACTCTTTGATATTTGGACTTAATTTTAGGACTTATCTGAGAGAAAAACAACATTAATATGAAAAAGTGAACAGACTGAGATCAACCGGTTAAAGGGCCAAACTAAAAATCACCAAAAATGATTCTTAAAAATTCAAATCTGCTGCTGATCTTCAAGCCTTTGG